GCTATGCAATTTGAGCTATACAAATTGTGTGGTTTATTTCGAGTTAATTTCAAAATAGCTAATTTCATAATTTGGCACGGTCTACACAGTGCTATATTTCAAAATAAACCACTATTCCAAAACATCCTTTAATCCTCATGGAATGAGGTTTATGGGGATGTTGGAATATCGAGCCCATTGCATTTTGAAATAATGGGCTTGTTTCAAAGACGCAGAATAGCTATTTTGGGATACCAGAAGTATCCTGAAATAGCGCTGCAGTGTAGACGTACCCACTGAAGCTTCCCTATAGTTGATCTATTTCCCTCCCCGCCACTGCTCACTATCTGACGATGGCTACAAACCTACACCCACGTGCGTAAATTTACTGCCCTGAATAGTTCCATTGGTTTTACAGGGATACCTTAGGACCTGATCCTGCAAAGACTTACACAAAAATCTAGACCGGGGTGGGCAAAAGGGCCTCCGTGGGCTGAATCCGGCCTGCCAAGTGAGTTGATCTGGCCCTTAGAAGCCCTGCTGCTCCTCCCACCCCCAGGCCACTTAGAGAACTAGAGCCTGGGGGTGGGGGGAAGCATATGCAGTCTCCTCCCGCCCTGTCCCTGCCCCTGCTTCTAAGAACTGCATGCTCCTTGCAGGATGGGGCAGGGTGGGAGGAGACTTCCCTCGCGCCTCCTGCCCCAGGCCAATCAGTCTCCTCCTGCCCTGCAAAGGGCTCAGCAGTTAGTCAACCAGCAGCTGCTGCTCAGATGGTGGTTGACTCTAAGTGTGGCGCTCCCTTGCAGGGCGGGGGCAGGGAGTGAGAGACTTCACATGCTCCCCCTTCCCAGGCTCTGATTGACCTGGAGGCAATAGAGGGGAGAATGTGAAGTCTCCTCCCACCGCCAGAGGCCCAGGTAACAAGAGGGAACTGCCAGCTGTTCAGACCACCTGGCGGTTTTCTCGGGGGGGAGGGAGGGGGGAAGAGATGGGTCACAAAGACTTAGGGGGTGTCTAGACTACAGGGTTTTGTCGACAAAGGTGGACTTTTGTCGACAAAACTATACCTGCGTCCACACTGCCTTTGAGGTATGTCGACATAATGTCGACAAAACTCAGCAGTTTTGTCGACGTATGTAAACCTCATTCTACGAGGAATAACGCCTTTTGTCGACAGAGTTCTGTCGACAGAAGGCGTTATTGCATCTACACTGTCCTTTGCGTCTACACTGTTATGTCGACAAAGCGGCTTGCTTTGTCGACAGAACTGAATGTAGTCTAGATGCTCTTTGTCGACAGAAGCTTTGTCGACAGTATCTGTCGACAAAACTTCTGTCGACAAAACCCTGTAGTCTAGACGTACCCTTAGTGTGCTCCCCCATCCCCAGGCCAATCAGGGTCTGTGGGTGGAGAAACACAGAAATGTCCTGGCCCCACCCCTTTTATCTGAGGCCTCGCCCCTTCCAGGCAGCCCGGGGCCACTTCAAAAATTTCTGAAGTGGCCCCCTGTTAAAAATTATTGCCCACCCCTGATCTAGTCTGTGATTCCTTCAACTGAGGTTCAGCATTTGGAGCAAGAATACTAACCACATCGACTGATTTTTCATTAATGCTTTCCCCGGGGGGCTATTTTGAGGCTCAGGCTGAACATTAATATTCCACTGTGGGTGGTGAAAAAAAAGAGATATTTCTTTGGCAGTGAAGTATAAGGGATGATACTACAATGGAACCATTCTTGCAGCAATTGCAGATACCTACCGCACAGACAGTTATACGTGAATAGAAAGTGACAGATGTACTTTTATAGGGTAACTACTATCCCTGTTAATTTCTTGCAGACAGGTTAAGCTCTTTGTGCAGCTTTAGTCACACGGATAGCCTGTATACTCTTTTTTGGTCACCGGGAAGATCTAAATCTTCTCTGATTGTGACTCTTCTCCAGTCCTCCTGGTATCACTCTTCTCATGTCCACCTTCCTGTCAACTCAGCCAGATCTGCCTTTCTCCAACGTTTATGTTTCTGTTCCCAGTGCCAGGTCCCTGATCCATGATCGTTCCTTCCTGCCATCCTTATTTCTTTCACTGACTTCCACACCCTGAACTCAAACAGGACTCTGCTTGCTATGCTGTGAGGGTCAGTCAGGTCTGGCATTATCTTTTTCGGGCCCGGGGACAAAAGCTGAATGAAAATCCTGATCTTATCCATGCCAGAGATACTCCAGAGTGTACCAGGGCAATCTCAGCCCACACAAGATGAGAGTACAGTATTTGTGCCAGACCCTACAGAAAGAACACTAGACCTCCCAAGACTTTTTGCATTCATATGTCTCTCTTCTGTGGCATTAATTGTAGTATTTTGTTGTAGCAATTGTAGTAATTTGTTGTCAATTTCAGGTCAAGGCCTGAAGGAGCTCTCTCCTCCAGAAGCTGAGCTTCTACTTGAGGTTCATTGGCTGGGCATTTTGGGAAGGGTTGAAGAACTTGTGAATAAATGGCAGTATAAGGATTTGGGAATATGACTCGTCTCATGAGTACTGTGTACAGATCCTTCCTGCACTCTCTTGGGAGCCAATGTGACAGGCCTAAGTGCAGTGGGTCCCAACAGGTACCCTCTGCACATAGACACCACTAAGGCCTCCACAAGACCTTCTCTAGCAGATCTTGAATCCTGCCTCTTCTCCCCAGAGGCCTGATCCACCGCAGCAGGAGTATACCTGAGCTCCTACTCAAGCCATGCCATCACCTCAGCCATACAACATCAGCAGACATCTCAGCACAAAAGCATCCAGGCAACTCTAACAAGTTGTTGGTGTATCACTACCACCCATCCACTTTCCCCTCAGTGCGCCCCAGCCTGTGTTCTCCTGATCATCCCCAGTACCCAATCTTCCCCCTCTACACCTGCAAGCTGAACTGCTCCACACCTTTCACCTCAGACCCCGCCTCTCCTTCTCTCCAGCTGCTTCTGCTCTCACATTCTCTTCCTGCTGCATCACACTGATCACATCAGCACCCAACTCCCATTTCCCTAAGGAAATTGCATTAGTGTATCAAAAACCCATTGCATCATCTACATAGTTAAAACATTACACTGAAAAGGGAACTTTAAAAATGGCGGTACGCACCTGTGCATGTCGACATATAGAGCTCTGTGACATAAGCCCTATAGAGAACCCCAGAGCTGAACACGACTAACCTGTGGAACAATTTGGATCCATATCTGAACTTTGTGGTTGGCTGTTATTTCTATAATGGACCAAGCTTAATCCTTGGATCTAAACTCCCCTGCACTCAAAATTACCTCCTTTGACATTTCCTAATTTCAGTCCTGACAGCTACCAACAGCTATATTATCTTAGTATCAGCTCAGTCCCTCTCCACAAGAAGTGAACATTTGACATCTTCATCTGAAAGAACCAAAGGGAGATGTCCACTGGATCACTGGGAAGAGCAGTAGAGAATACTCTCCTGAGGAACTGCTAGTTACCTCATAAGTAGCTGTAAATTATTTTCTAAGTCAAGGCCCAACATTAAGGAAAACTGAAAGATGTTCCACAAAATCTAGTATGGCTCTTCATGGCAATGTTGCTAAGCAACAGCATAAGTGAACTGCATGTTTCTGGTACTGCTGAAGAAGAAAAGTATTTAGAACCCTAATTTTAAAGCTAGTTAGGAGCCTAGAGTGATTTTCCAAAACATGGACATGCCTAACTCTCGATACATTGGGATGAAAATCCCACTAGGAGTCACTCTGAATCTTTTGGCACATAAATACCTTCATAAAGCTGACCCTAAGAGCAGGCCTACAATACATGGGGAAGTTGATCTAAACTATGAAGCATGAGTTACAGTAATCGCGTAATTCAAGTTGATGTAGCTTAGGGTACATCTAGACTACATGCCTCTGTCGCCAGAGGCATGTAGATTAGGCTACCAGACATAGTAAAATGAAGCGGCGATTTAAATAATCGCCGCTTCATTTAAATTTACATGGCTGCCGCGCTGAGCCGACAAACAGCTGATCAGCTGTTTGGTGTCAACATCAAAGGTATTTGTCGACCACTCAGGTAAACCTCATCCCAGGAGGCATACCTGGGTGGTCGACAAATACCTTTGATGTCGACACCCGCACGTCCAGACTACAGCGCTGAGCCGACAAACAGATGATCAGCTGTTTGTCGGCTCAGCGCGGCAGCCATGTAAATTTAAATGAAGTGGCGATTATTTAAATCGCCGCTTCATTTTACTATGTCTGGTAGCCTAATCTACATGCCTCTGGTGACAGAGGCATGTAGTCTAGATGTACCCATTGATGTATTTCTGCGGGGTCCACACTACACTGGGTTGGTAAGAGAAACTCTCCTGTTGACTCCCCTTATTAATCTCATTCTGGTGTGTACTGGAATTGACAACTAACCAATTGGTGGTTGATTTAATGGGTTTTCAATAGCCCTGCTAAACTGATGCAGTGTCAGTGTCCATCCACCCAATAGTGGAAACAAGCTCTAGTGCAGGGCCACCCCTTGCACACCACCACCAAAGGGGAGCTTGCAGCTGCACCAGATACGTGCCCCATACCCTGCTCCCACACACTAACTCACCATTGGGCACTCGTGAGGCCACATGTGGAGCCCCCCACTATAGAAAGGATGTGGACGCATTGGAGAGGGTCCAGCAGAGGGTGACCAAAATGATTAGGGGGCTGGAGCACATGACCTACGAGGAGCAGCTGAGAGATTTGGGCTTATTTAGTCTGCAAAAGAGAAGCGTGAGGGGGGATTTGATAGCAGCCTTCAACTTCCTGAAGGGAGATTCCAAAGAGGATGGAGAGAGGCTGTTCTTAGTGGGGGTGGATGGCAGAACGAGGAGCAATGGTCTCAAGTTACAGTGGGGGAGGTCTAAGTTGGAGATTAGGAAAAACTATTTCACCAGGAGGGTGGTGAAGCACTGGAATGGGTTATTTAAGGAGGTGGTGGAAACTCCATCCCTAGAGGTTGGGTTGATTTAGTTGGGGTTGGTCCTGCTTTGAGCAGGGGGCTGGACTTGATGACCTCCTGAGGTCTCTAACTATGATTCTATTATTCTAACTCCCCTGCAGACACCCACACCCCAACCATGAGCCCCTCCCACACCTCAACTGTCTCACAGACCCCACACTACAGCCATAAGACCCCCTCCTGCCCCATACTACCTCACAGAGTTTGGACCTCCACCCCAACCTCCTGCCCAGAGTCACTCCCACACTCCAAATCCCTTGGCGCCAAACCCAAACAAACCTCTTTTATGAAACTTGAACTTTATGAAGCTTTTGAGTGGCTCCCAAGACCTTTGTAAAATATTGACTCCCCAACAGTGTATGCACACACATACACAATCAACAAGGCAGGCTGGTTTTCCCCAGCACACACGCACATACTCATGCTTAGCTTTAGAAAACCTGGAAACCTCAAAGAGAGTAAATTATAGCATCCCCTTATGGGGCCAGAGATGAATCAGAGAGTATGGTCAGCACTGTCCATTTTGTACTACTCCAGTAGGGCAAAATGGACAGATTCCACTTGGAAATGTCCCTTTGCGAAGGGAAAAGTCTTGCTGATGCAAACCTGGCACAGCCGGTTTCTTTGTCAGCCACCTTCCTGTGCACCCACATAGGAGAGAGGAGAGGGCATGGTGTGACACAACTTCTCCATGCTAGTCTTCTAGTGGCCTAAAGCTCCTCATGGCCTTTAGGCCAATGGAATAAGTTACAACACCCCCTCATATGCTCTAATGCTAGGGCAAGGCTGACACTGAATCAGGCAGCTATATTTAGCTCCTAGAGAACTGCATTTAACAAAGCCCCAATGTAGGGAGAACTCATTCCAATGTCTCTCCCATCTTGGTCACCTCTGAGGGACCTTTAGTATGTCCCTTGATGCCGGCAGTCAATACACATGCACTCTCTCTCATTCTCTCTCTCCTTTTCCAACTATAGTCACACTCCTTTAGCTACATTAGGAAATATAAACTATTCAAAACGTTGTGCAGAGCAATTCTTACCACTAATATCTCATGTCATGCCTGTGGTTAACACGAACGTCCAGAAACTGCCCACTTATAGTACAGTAACTCTATACTATCAAGCAAAGAGAATAAGGAGACACTTTGAGTAACAAATGGGTTATTGAAAACTGCTAGAGACATATTTTCAGCATTAATTGTGAAAGCTTGAGGTAAAACTGTTACTGGTAATGAATGCCTTTAGACAATGCTTAGTAGCTTCTGACACTGTGTCTTTCTTAGTAAAAGACACCAGCAAATCTTTGCCTGTTTTAGTCATTCAGTATTTACCCTCCCCACTCCACCCAGCAAACTCTGCCTAACCTGACCTTTTCAACTTTGGGTAGAAACCGGAGTCACAATGTGCCTCCAAACTGCATCCAGACCTTCAAGAAAGAATGAAAGAAAAAGCAGAGAGAATTAATCCCTCAAGATTATGAAGAAACTGTTGTTTTGATGTTAAATATTTAAGTCTTTGAAAAATTGATGTTTGTTTTTTAAAATGAGCCTTTTTTGGTAGTTGAAATACATTTTTAGGGACTCTCTTTGTCCCCACTAAGGTATTATGAACACTGGCTGCCAATCCTAAAACTGAATGGTGGAAAGAGACATTGAAGGGGTTAAGAAAAAAGGAAGAGGAGGAGGGAGTGATACCTAGGGGAAAGCAGAATTTCCTGCAAAGGTTCTTGGAAGCAGGAGGGGAGGGATTTATGTAATTTTTTCTTTATCTTCATCTTGTGGGGGGAAATGGAGAAACCCTTCAACCTGACAGGACAAGCGTTTCCTGGAGTGCATGGAATCAGCAGCGAGAAGGGTTCAGTAGAGTCCACATCCACGCAGGTTGTTGGCGATGATGACATCCGTAACAGCATCAAAGACAAACTGGATGTTGTTGGTGTCCGTGGCACAGGTGATGTGCGTGTAGATCTCCTTGTTGGGGGACTTGTTCTTGCTCTCATACTGAGACTGGATGTAGGCCACAGCCTCAGTGAAAGAGTTAGGGCCTATGAGAGAAGCCAAGAAGAAAGGAAAGCATGCATTAAAACAATCCCAAACACAGGACCCAAATCTGCTTTAGTTGAAGGCAATGAGAATTTAGTAGCATGAGATCATTGTCCTAACTTTGCTAGCTCTTACTGGACACTATAAACAACAATCTATGGGTCTGACCTTTCTCTTGCATGCAAGAATGAAGATAACAGAATTATGCTAATGTAAAATTAGCATAGGAGCAGATGCTTTCCCGACTGTAAAACATTCCATGGTGTGAACCCAATCAGAGTCATCCTTATTCATATTGTAGAATACACAGTTGTGTAGGGCACCCAAAAATGTGGGGCACCACCGGGGTTTAATGTCCACCCAGCCGCCTCATCTGTGTTCTGTGGTTCTGCTTCTGCTGGAAAGGATCTAAGAGGGATAGCTATATTAGTCTGTAACTTCAAAAACGAGTGGTCCTGTGGCACCTTAGAGCACGTCTAAACTACATTCCTCTTCTGAAAGAGGAATGTAAATGAGCCTGATCAAAAATGCAAATGAAGCACATATTTACAACTCTTGCTTCATTTGCATAATCGCGTGTGAGCGCTTTTTCGGAAAAGGGCTTTTAAGAAAAAAAACCAAACTTTTTCCAAAAGCGCCTGTACTCCTGAAAAAATGAGGAATACGGGTTCTTTCGAAAAAGGGTTTTTTTCTTCGAAAGAACCCTGTGTAGACTGTGTTTTCTTTTTAAAAAACCCCTTTTTTGAAAAAGAGCTCTCATGCGATTAAGCAAATGAAGCGTGAAATTTGTAAATCTGTGCTTCATTTGCATTTTCGATCGGGCTCATTTACATTCCTCTTTCGGAAGAGGAAAATTGCTTAGACATAGCCTTTAGAAACTAACCCTCGCAGACCAGATCTGGCCAGCGAGCTGGTATTTGCCGGCCCGTGATTTACACTGTAGTAAAAGCACTGTGTTGATCTTGACCCCTCCCCTTGCCTGTTTATATGCTCCTCAGTTAATTCTCTGTAGCAGTAGAGTCCCTTCCATTTTCACCATGACCCAGGGCTAGCTTGCCGGGGTTTCTTTGGCAGTTTGTTTTCTGTGGGATTTTCAAGATGAATGTTTGACGATATGAATAAGCTTCTCCCATGCACATCTTCACTTTGACCCAGAAGTTCCAGTTCAGCAGAGCACTGAGGCATGAGCTCAATTTTAAGCATGTGCTTAAATCTCAGAGCATGTGTTGAAAGTGAAGCCCGTATAGAAGTGCATTGCTGAACTGGAGCCTGAGCGAGGAGCCTGCTTTCCAGCAATGTGTTAACATGGCCATGTAGAACCAATGTTCTGACTCCCATGTTACCCCACTACTGGCTGCAGGCCCAGAGGCTGTGGATGGGGAAAAGAAGTGTGGGCTTCCTTACATCCCAGACGTTCCCAGCTGCCAGAAAAGTGCCTAGAGGCTATGGCCAACGGGCGCAATTTAGAACAATCTTGAGCATCCTCCTCTGAGTTATGAGAGGGACCAGCCTGGATGCCAACCATGCCCAGAACTGGGACGCTTCAACGGGTCTTAAAGCCAAATTTGTTTTTCTCTTCCTTAAGTGATGATCGAGCTCTGTGGTGTCCAATGGTGTTCCCTATGAGCTGAGCGCTTGGGTGGCTGCCCAGCAGAGATTCCGGTACCACCCATAGCTGCTCACAGTGGACAGCATGGCTGCGTCTAGACTGGCAAGTTTTTCTTCAAAAGCAGCTGCTTTTGCGGAAAAACTTGCCAGCTGTCTACACTGGCTGCTTGAATTTCCGCAAGAACACTGACTTCCTACTGTCTGAAATACTGTGCTGCTCCCATTCGGGCAAAAGTCATTTTGTGCAAAGCGCAAGTGTAGACAGATTTTGTTTTAGGCAAAAAAAAGGCCCCGATCGCGAAAATGGCGATCGGGGCTTTTTTGCGGAAAAGCGCGTCTAGATTGGCACGGATGCGTCCGTGCCAATCTAGATGCTCTTTTCCGTTAAAAGCATTTGCGGAAAATCATGCCAGTCTAGATGTAGCCCATGTGTTTCCATCTGCACATTCCTCAGTGCACATAACAAAATGTATTCCATCCAAGGATGGCAAAACTTAGAGGGAACTGTGGAGTACATCTAAACTACATGGCTCCGTCGACGGAGCCATGTAGATTTGTTGTTTTGGCAAAGGCAAATGAAGCCGCGATTTAAATGATCGCGGCTTCATTTGCCTTTGCCAAAACAACAAATCTACATGGCTCCGTCGACGGAGCCATGTAGATTTGTTGTTTTGGCAAAGGCAAATGAAGCCGCGATTTAAATGATCGCGGCTTCATTTGCCTTTGCCAAAACAACAAATCTACATGGCTCCGTCGACGGAGCCATGTAGATTTGTTGTTTTGGCAAAGGCAAATGAAGCCGCGATTTAAATGATCGCGGCTTCATTTGCCTTTGCCAAAACAACAAATCTACATGGCTCCGTCGACGGAGCCATGTAGATTTGTTGTTTTGGCAAAGGCAAATGAAGCCGCGATTTAAATGATCGCGGCTTCATTTGCCTTTGCCTATGTGTCTAATCTACATGCCTCTGACGACAGAGGCATGTAGTCTAGACACAGCCGTGGTGTCCAACCAGTCCAACCACTACAGTGGCTACTGCTATAGTGAACAAGTCACACTCAACTGGCCAAATAGCCATATTGCTCAAGGTAACGAGCCACACTCAACTGGCCAAATAGCCACATGTGGCTAGTAGCTAGTGTGTTGGACACAACGGATCTAGATGCTTTCCTTAGCATGAAAGCCTCTATAAAACTAAGTTCCATTCTGTTCTAATTTACCTACCAGTGGCATCTCCATGTAATTAGAAATAACTTAAGAGTGGAGAATTTCTGTGGCAACATAATTAATTCTACAATATGGCTGAACATTCCTGAGCACCTTAGAACTTCATTCAAAATTGCTCTGATAGACTTTGAGTACAGAAAATCCTTTGTTATCTGAAATGTCCAGTCATGATTTAGCTTTATTGCTTGGTCAGATTTGTTTCTGTATCTCACCAAAATATCGGACCCTTCTCTGCAACAGTAAGCTGCAGAATTTCTCTTAAATACAAAGGGACCAGTTCTGCTCAATATGTGTTTACCATTTGGCACAGCGAAATAATGACGGCTCCTCTCTGCCAGTTCATAGTGGGAATCAAGTGCTCAGATAGGGAGAGCTCTTGTTCATAATTCGTTGGCAAGCCCCATCTTGGCATACTCTATTTACAACCACGCTGACTGACAAAGAGACCAGCTTTTCTTTCTGTCAGCTTGATTCAGCTGGATGTTTCCAGCAAGATTAAATAATTCATTATTGCAAAGGTTTATATTTATGCCAGCTCAGAATTTTAATGAAGGTTTGTGGAAGACAGCAAGATATGGAGCAGCTGAGCACTACCACTAGCTTTGCAGGAGGAAGTGTTCTAATCATCAATAGGTCAGGCATGAGGCGGCCAGGCAAAAGAAGTTCTTCCTGCATGCTGTGCTATTGCAGCTCTTCAGTTCTGATCTCCAGGGTAATCTAATGTCCGTCTTCATTTAATATTAAGCACATCTGTATCAAAATGCTTAATATCACTGTGACAACTGACACTGGGGACCTCTAGAGCTACAGTGACAATCTGTGCAGCTACGGGCTCAGCTAAAAAGTGCCAGCTCAGTGAGCAGTGGCTATAACAACTTGTATCTTCTCAGGATTGGGTTAGAGAGGGACCAGTAGCACCAGTGGGTAACAACTAGTGTCAGTGCAGCCTAGCGGATAGAACTGAACTAGCACAGAATCTGCTGCGTGACCTTCAGCAGTCACGTCAGTGCTCTGTGCCTCAGTTTCCCTATCTGTTAATGGGGGACAATTATACTGACTTCTTTGAAAGTGCTTTGCGATTCATAGATTTTAAGACAAGACGGGCCCATTAGATCATCTAGTCTGACGACCGGTATAACACAGAATCTCCTGTTCAAAAACACTACATAGGAGCCAGGTATTAGTATTATTAATGCCTGGGGGTATGTCTTCACTACCACCCGAGTTCGAACTAGGGTGGTATATGTAGTCAATCGAAGTTGCAAATGAAGCCCGGGATTTAAATATCCCGGGCTTCATGTGCATCTTGCCGGGCGCCGCCATTTTTAAATCCCCGGTAGTTCAGACTCCGTGCCCGCGGCTACACGCGGCACGGAGTAGGTAGTTCGAATTAGGCTTTCTAATTCGAACTACCGGTACACCTCATTCCATGAGGAGTAACGGTAGTTCGAATTAGAAAGCCTAATTCGAACTACCTACTCCGTGCCGCGTGTAGCCGCGGGCACGGAGTCTGAACTACCGGGGATTTAAAAATGGCGGCGCCCGGCAAGATGCACATGAAGCCCGGGATATTTAAATCCCGGGCTTCATTTGCAACTTCGATTGACTACATATACCACCCTAGTTCGAACTCGGGTGGTAGTGAAGACATACCCCCAGGCATTAATAATACTAATACCTGGCTCCTATGTAGTGTTTTTGAACAGGAGATTCTGTGTTATACCGGTCGTCAGACTAGATGATCTAATGGGCCCGTCTTGTCTTAAAATCTATGAATCGCAAAGCACTTTCAAAGAAGTCAGTATAATTGTCCCCCATTAACAGATAGGGAAACTGAGGCACAGAGCACTGACGTGACTGCTGAAGGTCACGCAGCAGATTCTGTGCTAGTTCAGTTCTATCCGCTAGGCTGCACTGACACTAGTTGTTACCCACTGGTGCTACTGGTCCCTCTCTAACCCAATCCTGAGAAGATACAAGTTGTTATAAAGCTCAGTTAGTGGCATGTGTGGTCATTTTAATGCTAGTGGGGACGTGGCTTACGTCATCAACATACTTCATATGCGCCATTGAACAGCCCATGTCAGACAGTGGAAGCTGTTGTGAGCTCATTCTGCAACCTTTATTCAAAGAAAACTTTCTCTTTAAGTCAACAAGAATTTTGCCTAAGGGTTGCAGGACTGGAACCTTTATGATCATTGCCTGAGATGTACCCTAAAAAGCCAACAACCTAGATTTCAAAAGCTGCAAATCACATTGCCCTGAGCCATCTGTCTCCTGACTGAGCATTGGTTTAAAAAGGAAGTCTAGTTTTTCATTACCTGTGTACTCAGGAAAGCAGATAGTCAATGGAGATTTCTTAATTTTCTCCTCAAATATGTCCTTCTTGTTTAGAAAGAGGATGATGGATGTGTCTGTGAACCATTTGTTGTTACAGATGCTGTCAAACAGCTTCAATGATTCATGCATGCGGTTCTACAATATAAAGGAGAGAACATATCAGGCTAACGACAGTGATCGTGTGG